GTTGTGGCCATCGAGGGGATGGGACGGACCCCCTTCATCCCCCACAGCACAAAGGGGGTCCGGCGTTCCGGGAACGCCGGGCGTTCCGGGAACGCCGGACCCCCTTTGAGTTGTGGCCATCAAGGGGAGGGGACGGACCCCCTTCTTCCCCCGCACCTCAAAGGGGGTCCGGCGTTCCCCCCCTTGGTGCTGTTGTCAGCGATGGGGAGGGAGGGGCCCCCTTACTCTCTCGCAGCACCGACATGGGTCCAGCGTTCCGGGAACGCCGGACCCCACTCGTTGCTGCTAGAGGTAGGGGGAGGGAAGGACATGAAATGCCGCGGGGTTTCGTCGCCGAGGCGGGCGAGGGAGGGGTTCGGCCGACCACCGTGCCGACAGGCACGCTGGTGGGGTCTGCTATTTTGGGGACGCCGGACCCGCACACACAACGGTCGTGGGGTATGGCGTTCTAGGAACGCCAGACCCGTTGCGTGGGGCGGTAACGAAACTCCCGCACCGCGACGAATGCTTTTTAATGTCACTTAGTGTTGTTTTCTTGTTGTCTTTTTCTGTGCGACCCTTCAGGAAAAACAGCGTCTGCCTCCGCCCCCGAAAAACAGTGCGGCAGGTCAAAGCTCTACCACGACAAACCATGGGCTCTAGATTGGGCAGGTGACCTTCATATGACGGGTTGCGGAGCCGTTGTCTTTTTGAGCGATGACAATGGCCTGAGTTGGTACTGCTGCGGAGGGGTGGAGAAATCGGAAGCGGGGAGGTTTACCTACGACGGCAGGAAGTTCAAGACCTTCTTCCTTACGTCTGTCTATGACAGTGAGGGGAAAAACTGGGTCAAGGAAGATAAGAAGGTGTCTCTTGACCATCGGCTCTTCCAAGGATACAGGGTCAAGGCTTTGTCGATGAAAGCGTTTGACGTGCATGGGAACGGAACGGAGTTCCAAATGCTGGATCCGGAAAAGTTTCTTTCCAAAACCAATGGCTACCGGGTGACTGGTTCCCTGCCTGTCGTCGACAGCGCTTTCATGCTCAGCAGACCTTTGGTCCAATTCAACAGCCCGGCGGACCAACTCGCAGCTTTCGTTATGCGATACAGGGAAGAGTTCGCGAGGCTGCCTGCTGCCCAGCAAGTTGACCGTGTTTTCGTGCCGATTGACGCCCCGTCTTTGTCGGCTGCGGGGCCCAAACGGCGCCAAGATCAACCGGCCAGAGCGGGTGGAAAGAGGAAGCAATTGTCGACTGCCCCGCTTTCGTCGGCTGCGGTTGTCCAGGCTCTGCCTGCTCCGGTTCCGCCCTCGGATCGGCAAGGTCGCGATGCGGCCGAGCAGTCCAGCGAGGCCACAGACTACGACGACGGAGCTGTGCGCTATCGGGCTGGTCCCCAGCATCGTTCACGGGGAGGTGCAGGTGCCTTCGATGGCGAGGAATGCGAGGGCCAAGATGGGGAGGGCGTTGGTTGGGATGGGGAGGGCGGTGGTGAGGAGGGGGAGGGCGGTGGTGAGGAGGAGGAGGGCGGTGGTGAGGCGGACGACGGTAATGAAGGAGATGCTGAAGGTGAGGACGATGGCATGGACGAGGAGAGAGACGATGTTGGTGAGGAAATCAAAGACAATCGCTCCTCCCAATTTCACCCTGGCCACCACAACGAATCGCAGGGGCGCCGTGAGGACGACGCCTGCCGCGTCGGTGACGCGGTCGATGCTGGTGGCCAGCCTGCAGCCTCCCGCGGAATGTCGCAGTCCTATGACCGGACGAAGGATGGGAGAGACGAACCTGGCTCACGGGGAAAGCGAAAGAGGGGAGAGGTGTCGACCTCTCCTGCGAGTCGAACAAAACAGGCGCGGGCCGGCGCGGTCAATGAAGCTCGCGGAGCGTTGACGGCATCACAGGAAGCGCGGGCTCCTCGGAACAGTGGTGGGGGGGGGCGAAGTGGCATCCGCGGGGGCGGTCGCGGCGGCGGTAGGAAAGGCTCGCAGAGGTCCAGGGCACCTGAGCTGCGGGACTCGGGGGATGAGGGCGAGGGGGTGGGGCCTCGCATGCCCGAAGACATTGAAGAGCTGGTTCAGCACGCCGCGCTTGTGGACACGACACGATGTTTCTTCCTCGAATAGGACGAACAGGGCTTCGCCAGGCAAGACGTCCAAGTTGTTAACGTCGACGTTAATAGGATCAAACCCATTCCCCGTTGGAAGATCCTATTTAACCACCGTTCGTTGTCTGAGAACATTATGAGAGGYATCGAGAGTGCAATAGAAAGTTCCATCAATGCTGACCCGGGGGTGTGGGATAGACCTGAGCTCGTTCTTGCGCCGGTTGACCCCAACGTCATCGTCGGGGGGCAGGGAAGGCGAATCACGCCGGACGAGTTCTTCCAAAGAGATTCTGCAGAGTTCGACTGGTACGCTGTCTGCGGTCAGCATACTGCCGAGGCCATGAAACGGTTGGTTGGAAAGGATTCCCCCGCCGTCAAAGTCTACGGCCTCCGCACGTACTCTAAAGTGCGAGTCGTTTTTTTCGATGATGACCACACACGCAGGTACTTCAATGTCTCCCTCTTCGACAACACACGGGAGAATCGCGCCATGATGTTATACTTCCAGGATGCTGTGCATGATACGTGGCAATGGTGGATCGACAACAACAGGATCGAGGCACTAAAAGCTAAGGTCAGCGAGAAGGATGCTGTCGCCGTTTCGCATCAGAAAACATGACAGAACTTCCTAAGGGCCTGCATGGGGAAGGCGTGCGACAAGGCGTTCGTGAAACAGACACTCGACAACGAATACAGCAAGGATTGGAGTAACAAACTTCGGGGGTACCTGAATCTCGCCACATCCACCCGCATGGTTTGGCCGCTGGTGGAGAAGTTCTTTGCGATGTTCGAGGAGGGTAAGCTGCCAATCGGCGACGGCAAGATCCCACTTGAGATGCCGGGGAGGATGGAGGGGCGCCTGCCCGGCCCGTACACTGACGAGAACAAGGGACAACGGACTTTGTACCACTGCATATATGCGAGAGATGGTCCCAAGGGCTCCACCGTGTCCTGGAAGGATTTGTGTCCTACGTACTTCAAAAACTTCGGGGACATGACATGCCGCGAGAGAGAAGTCGCGCTAAGCCTGCTCATGTCGGGGAAAGTGGTGGCAACAAAAGTGAGAGTCACGCCTCCGAGGGTGAACACAGAGTGCCTCCTCGACATTATGCGCAAGGAGAGATACATGGTCCGCATGTTCAACTACGTCGTGTCTCGCGCCGAGGGAAGGGCAGGGGACGAATGGAACGACGACTTCTTCATGTCGTACAAGGACCTGGAAGAGAGGTATGCTTCAAACGGGTTATGCGCAGATAAATGGGAGAAGCAACGGGAGAAGCTGCATAGCAACTTAGTGAAGACGATCCCTCGGCGACTTGGAGGAGTGGAGGAGGCGAGGCAAGGTGAGGGCTTGGGGCCTACAGAAGTGTTGTACAAGGAGGCTCCGTTTCACTTCAAGGTGTTTATATACACCACGATCGATAAACTCGATATGCTTCGAGCGGAGGTGAAACGGATTGCCTCCAGTGCACGCCATCTTGTGTGGGACAAACTCAGCAGGTAGACCACACTGGTTCCTGTATGCATGCGGTCAAAGGAGGTTATGGCGGCGCCCGTCGACATCGTCGCAGCCGCACAAAAAATGGCATGCAGGGCCGCCATCGTGGACATCTCGGACGCGAATTTCAGCAGTGCATGGACCTCGCAGGACTTTGATGCACTGTACGCAATGATGGCGAAGTGTTGTGGTCCAAATTGGGTCCTCCTCTTCTTTGCACCGCAGAATGTGCAAAGCGATGTCTTGCGTCAATTGTACCGTTGGGAGGACATCGAGCTCATCCCCGGGTCATGGAAACGCATGGACAGGCCGCCGAGCGACTTCACAAGGTACGACAACATCGCTATGAGCAGTCGGGACCTGATGGCAATCGTGTTGCACGCTGAAGGAGGAGATCTGAAAAAAGTAACTGTCGCACCCCGACTTCACAACAATCTCACCGAAGTACATGTTGTGGAGGAAAAGTTCGGGAAAGTGTCTCGGAAAACACAGTGGCGTCGAGGGCGACGAAAGTGCCGCATAGTCAATTTGGGAGTGAGAACATGACAAGTTGTGGAAGTTTTGCGGTTCATTCGTAGGAGAGGCGGAAGATGTGCTTTTGCTGGGTAGGGTGCACGCGGGTCTTGTATGGAAGTTATTGCTTGCAGGTAATAATGTCATTGCCTGTGACGAGTCGGCCAACGACATTGCATACTTGACAAAGTTCGTCGACATACTTGTTAAGGATGGGAGATTCGAGTGCCGCCTTGAGAAACCGCGTGCCACACATCGCACGAACAGGGATGTGTACCACAAGTTGGGACCGAAAGACTGAAGGTGTGGGAATACTTGTTCCGCGATGCGCCGGATGGACGCCTTGATGGGGGATACATATATAGGAAAGCCAAGGTGACCGAGGCCCTCAAACATTATTACGGTGCTCTAACTGGTGCCTTCGAGACATTCGTTGCTCGATGCGAGATCTTGAGGTTTGATCTTCACAAAGATAAACTTACGTTTAAGGACTATGCAGACCTCGCTAAATCGGGTGAAGGCTTTAACCCCGTTGACAGCGAGGAAGACTCGTCGGACTCCGACCTCGAGATCGAAAAGGACACCAATGCAACCGAGTGGTGTGGGAAGTCCGCTGCCATGGAGCACAGCGTCAAGGGATATGGACCGGGTCAATCAGAGGGATGCTCGAACCTGCCACCCGCGAACAGTGTGGCCTCGGGTGTGGACCGGGTTGTATGTACGCCCGTGGAAGACGACGAAGACGATGACCTTGATATTCGTGCTCAGCCAACGAAGCTGGCGCCAGGCGATCCGATTCCTCCCAGATTTTGTGCGGATGCAAACAATGTGTATTTCTTGGATGACAAATACACCTGCACTAGTGAGGACAAGTGGGGCCATGATATCATTTGGCATGACGGCATTTTCGAGCCATGTATCCAAGGCGGGGAGTGGAAAATGGTGGTGAAGTATGTCTCGAAACGTTGGAGACCGTTTCCCCGCATGGGAAAGGACAACTGGCTGAAGATGAAAGAGCAATCAATACTATACCGTTGTCGGAAAGAGAACCCCAGGGAGAGTAAAACATCCATCGCGGCAAAGGCGAAACAATTGTTTGACGCCTTGGGAGCCACTCGGCAGTTAGAGTACTCACACAAGTTTTACGAGCTGCAGTCGAGCCCCTCGTACGGCAAGATTGACTAGAAGGTTGAGCGCGCCGCCGCGCTCAAGAGCATGGACGTGGACTCCCGAGAAGATGCCGCCCCTGTGCCCGAGGCGGCCACAGGGAACACGATGGGTGAACAAAGGGAAGATGGCGGGAAGACGTTCGGCGTGAAGCCTCCGTTGCCAGAGGCAGGGAACACGCCCGCAGGCAAAAACACCATCGGAGCCATCTCTGTCGCAACGGGGGATACATCACAAGGTGAAAAAGTGTCACTCGACAAGCCGGCGGATGCGGGCGCCACATACGGGAGTCTCCTCGCGACAGGTGAGGCGCTGGCAGACATATCGGAGATGGTGTCAGAGTCCACTGCTGGGATGGGCATCACGGGGATGTCAATGCATCCGCCCACATGCACTTGTAAAGGTGACGCACACTGTACAACAACACCACAGGGAGGGGTCACAGGGCATGACGGGAATGGGGGAAATGCAGGGGGGTCTCCACGTTCTCGCAATATTGAGGACATGACGACGGACGATGAGGATGGGGTAGAAGGCGGAAAGGGCGTGAGCGATCCCACGCATGCAGAAAATGAGGGGTGAGACAGGGAATGAACTTGACGGGAATCCTCTTCGCGGGGAAATTTAATGTTTTCGTGTGTGTGCTCATTTGTTTGAAATTCGGGTTTGTGGGCGGAATTTGTTCCTGTGTACAATCGACATGAAGACTCATTAGTGTTCGATTTCAGGGATTTGGCCTTTTAATTGTTGACAAGAAAATTGTGGTGTGAACAATATTGTGTTGTAGTATGCGTGTGTGTCTCTCTATATTCGTCAATATGCTGTGTTGTGTATATGCATGTATGTCGTTGGGGTACGGTGATGAAAGGGGGCAGGAGTCAGGATTGATTGGTCCCGAAGTGTTGTCGTTCATCCAAGTGTAAGTTTAGCGAAACATTGATGACGTATCTTGAATACATCATTTCCGTTTAGCATGTTATGCTAAGGCACTTGCCCATGTACAAGTATCTCAAATGGTCGCCCTCCCCGTTTTTTACACCGCCTGCCCACCCGTTTCTTACTTTCCTGTAAGGGCGACCAATTTTTACACCCCTGTCCGCCTCGGTCACCGTTGTTTACACCGCCGTCTATGTCGTATTCGTCGTGTTTGTCGTGTGCAGTGCAAATTACAACAACGTATACAAGAAAATGCAAAAGAGGGTGGACAATGCGCCTCGCAACATCGTCTTTATCAGAGAAGGAGATGAAAGCACTCTCACATGTATGTCGGGAGTACGGGAAAAGGTTTGCAATAGCGAGCACACACAATCATCAGACGAACGAAGTACTGAAGCTAACTCGAGACGAATTTATTTTACTAGTCGACGAGCGGAACTGGTTGAATGACAACGTCGTCAACTTCTACCTGAACCTCATCGCAGTAGACAACTGGTGCTGAATCACACACGTAGAATGCGACGCCGAGAACGAAACCGTGATTAGAATCGGAAAGGGTCGCATTCCTAGAATATCAGTGTTGAGCTCGTTTTTCTTCGCCAGACTTTTCGACAGCGAAATGAGATATCAAGAGCGAGAGGTGCAGCACTGGTCGAATGACATTATAATAAATGACATGGACTTGATAATTGCCCCTTTCCATATCGCACACACGAACCACTGGACCCTTGTTGTGGCTGACTTCAGGAGGAGGAAATTTGAATTTTACGACTCCCTCAGCCCCGACAAAGAACTGGCAGCCAAAGTGACCGGCGGATTTGCAAAGTTTTTGTTTAAAAGATCGATTCAGCAAGGCAAAGAGGTGGACACGAAACCGTTTAATCACATATGGACCGTAGAGGGCGTCCCGAAACAACGTGACACTAGCTCGTGTGGGGTCTTCATGCTCGCATACGCATCGCTATTGGCAAGGGGTCACCTTCCGCCTTTTTCTTTCACCGCTGATGACATACCCGCAATACGTCGTCGAATGGCTTTGGACACAGTGGCTCGCGAGTAGTATGAACCTGCTGCTGGATATTGTGATTACATGCGGATGGATGTGGGTAAAAATAAATTGTTTGTCATGGAAACAGTGTATAGAAGATGACAACCATTGCTCCAAGTTCCTGCCCCTTACCCCTTGTCTTTTACCCTTTATCCCTCACCCCCAAACCCCTTACCCCTTACCCTTGCATGTATACCCATACCCCAAATTCAAATGCATTTTTGACCGTAAATCACCACGGAAATGACAATTTAAATTTCGTTCAAAAAATATAAAATGTCCGTTTTGACGAAATCGCTGTTCTTTGTCTCTCTCTATCTATGTCTCTCTATCTCTCTCCCTCCTCTCTCCCTCTCTCTCTCTCTCTTTCTCTCCCCCTTTCTCTGTCTATCTATGTGTGTTCCGTTTCTTGAATTCGTTAATAGTGCTGAAGTTTAGCGGTTGGCTTGGGTCTAACTTTTTTTTTCTTTTCCTCTTTTTTTTTTTTTTTTTTTTTTTTTTTTTTGGTTTTTTCCCCCCCCCCCCCCCCCCCGGGCGCTTAGGTAGTTTTTTTTAAATCCTTATAATTCATTTTTTCCAAAAAAAAAAAAGGAGTTGTAGGGTTTGAAAAACCCTACAACCCTATTTATGTTTTTTTTTTTTGGCCTATTATTTGAGACGGGAAAAATCCGTGAAAAACATGGCCGGGCTGACGCTAGACGCGGATGTGGCCATGAACATGGCCACCTTCCGAGCTTGACCCCGCGGCCGCGGCCGTGGGTGACACATAGGCGCCCACACTTTCTTTCGTCATTTACAACTACTGCTAGGAACGCACAGCCATCTCCATGCTCTCCCTTCACACGTGTGCCGAGGAACGGGTAAGATCTTCTCGAAAGTGCCCTGCATCCACCGTAGCCTCTTTCCCTCACATTCGGCCGAGGGTGAGCCCTGACGAAGCGGCTACCCTCCTCTCCCTCCCCTCCGCTCGTTATCTCCTCCCGCTCACCCGCCACCCTCAGCGCAAAATGGTGAACGGGGGACTCAATTTTCCGGGCACTGCCTCCATTGAAGATTGTAGATGAGCTGGAACTGGGTATCCTCGGAGTCGAGCGCCATCATAGCCTTCGTGCCCTCCAATCTCACCACCGTCTTGATGTTCAGGTTGGGCGCGTTGTTGCACTCGCTCCAGACAAGCGTCAGGAAGTCTTCCGTGAACTCGAAGCTGCCAACCTTTGGGACTTTCATTTTGCGCTCGACCATCGCCGTCCCCGTTTGTCTGGAGAAGTAGTAGTGCGTCTCGTAGATGCCTTCGGAGTTCTTGGCGATGTCAGCGAGCCCGCGGCCCGTGGCCTGACCAATGGAGACGCTCCAGCCATCCGGGTAGTTCATAGAGAACGACATCTGGCAATGCTCCCTCTTGTTGGCGAGCGACCCGTCCGTGGTCGCAACCATCCCGTCGAATATGAAGGTGATCGTCTTGTAGTCGTTCGACAGCACATAGTTGTTGTCGTAATTGCAGCCGTTGCCTGCGTAGGTGACATAACCGATAGTCACCTCAGTCGGAGTCTGCGCGCTTGCCTGAACTGCCGTGATCATCAGAAGAACGGCCGCAAGAACCACCTGACGTGCCATTGCCCTCGACCTCTTCCTGCACTCCCCCTCAACAAGCTTCATGGTGCACAGAGAAACGCGGTCCTTGGAAGACACAAAGGCAGGGGTGAGTAACACCTGGGTGCTCCTCTGTAAGAAGCCCCACTCCTCGACGTTTCTGCTATCCGGGTGCAAGCAAAGAGAGCACCGATTGCGAGTGTGTGCGTGATCTAACTACACTTGTCTAGTCTATGCCCAGCCTAGGCAGTTCCGTTCGCTTTTCCATTCGCTTTTATACAATTCCATTCGCTAGTAGCCATCACTTCGAGGTCCGCGTCTATCCAGCAATCTTGTGCTCGGATGGGGTGGCCCTGAGTGAGTCACAAGAGGCTCCTCTGTTTCGGCCCCAGCGGCTCTTTGCGGCCAAAATCCTGTTACATTCCTGGGAAAAAATAGCACGACCTAACTCGAGGCGTTTTTGAGTTGTTTCAGACCGGCAATGCCAGGCAGCTTCATGCTCTGTGGCGGCCAGGGCGAGCAAGTTTTCTTTCTCTTTCTAGTAGAGCTGCAGTACTTGTACACTCAGATCGTGTGTAGGGCCACTGATCTCTGAAGTAGAGGGTCCAGAATGAAGAATGCAGGCAAGTGGGATGCGCCCCTGGTGCTTTTGTCTGGACGATGACATGGAATATCAGCATGCTCTCTGAAGCAACACACCTGC